GCGTTAATATTTATTTTTATTTGCAATTTGACGAGTTCCGACGTTGCAATTTTTTAGTTTTTGCACACGCGAGTCAAAAAGTCGATAGTGGTACAGTTATTTATGTATTTTATACGCGAAAACGCGTTTAATCTTTCGATCGCGGGACGAAAATTGAAATGTCAGAGCAATGTTTAACGTCAGTTTTGCGAATATTATACGCGCGCGAGCGTAAAGAGAGAAGCTGACGCATATTCAACGAATTAATGTAATTTACAATAAATTTGCGCACACCGAGTTAGTTTCCGATAATGTCGAGCGACTCCGACGTGACGCACGTGAGGCCTCGGGTTTTTAATTTCAAACGCGCCGCATCATTGGAACGAGACTGAGCGTGAAATCGAATAATAACATTTGAGCGAGTTCTGTTTAATAGATTCTGCAATGAAAACGCGCGGCGCGCGATCTCGCGATAAAAGGTAAACGCAAAATTTATCCGAAAAATTTCGCAAAATGTCACGAAGCATAAATAACGATAATGAAAAAGAATCGACAAAAAAATTAAAAAACTACACACACACACATACACACGTTAATTATTTCCTGTGTGCGGGATATAATTAAAAACTCTCGGGAGAAACGGCGTTTTATACGGCGCTCGTGCGAAAACTCATCTGCAAGCGTAAGCGAGTCGCAACTGGAGGGAACAACGTTGAGACGCGCAAAAGACACTCGAGCAGAACTGACGGCGCTTATTATAACCGGAGATATTAAGCAGTCAGGCGATAATCACTTAAGATAATGGAAGGTGCTCGACGACGGTGCACCTTAAGTGTGCATCTCGCGCATTTTGAATGATTATTCTCGCGCAACGTTTTCTCGCCACGCCCTTTGCTGACCTTTTCAGTCAGGACGTTTTTGCTTTTTTATTTTTTGCCCGCAAACTGTTTATTTCCAACCGGCATGTCAGTAACCAGCAAACTATATTCGGCCAACGCCGAGCTAAAAATACAACAGTGGCGTCGTAGTAGCTCACGGCGGGCTAAAGCCGCGAATTTGGTCAAATCGATGGAAATTCAGAAACGAGGCGTTGTCCCTTTCTCTTTCTCTCTCTCTTTCTTTCTCTCTCTCTCTCTCTCTTTTTCCAGGCTCCAGACAGACCGACGACTGTTCGCACGATGCGTCGTTTGCGCACACGTACAGATACGCGCGCTGAGATTACAGGCGTATCGCTGACCGATGAACCGGCCCGATCGAGCGGCTCGGAAATTTGGCGCGGAAATACGATCACCTTCCATTTCTCTCTGTTTGTTCCGTGTCACTCGCTTCTCACATTTAAACAATCTCCCCCTCCCCCGGGAGCAACCAACGCCGTGATTTTTCACTGCGCCACGTGCTGGCGCACACTCTCCTCCAACGTGATGTAGCACACGCGTGACAGAATCCTCGCGACAATATTTTAATCGGACGAAATTGCGAAAATCAACGATGTTTAATTGACGATCAATTACCCTTTCGAAATGTCTGTTGACGGATCCACATATTTAAACACCGAATCGTTAAACCGAACTCTCTTTCTCTCTCATATTTACGAAGAGAAAACCCGTGAAAACTTTGGTTGAAGCGGGAAATTTTAATCAAGAAAGTTCGCCGGCTCGATGGAAAACTTACACGTTACGTAAAAGTAATATTATTTACTTCCCAGGTCCTACTCTTTTTGCGTTTCTATACAAAACCGATGCAGGGAAGCAGTTCCGTAAAAAACAAAAAAAAAAAAAAGAAAAAATTTGGAGAGTTTATTAATATTTTTGAAATCCTAAATTGCGAAAAACAACGCGAGAGTATTGAGAACTCACTCTTTCCGAGATAGCGCGGCGCGGGGTTGTATATGTGTTTCATACAACAACGTGAAACGCGATCTTTTAAGGAGAAAAGCTTTTAAGCGAGGGAAACATTTCCTCTCGCGCGGAAAATATCTCAGAGAGTATGATTTTCTTCAACGCGTCAGGCTCTCGCTCTTCTGCGATCCGACGTGACGGTCTCGCGAACGACCCTCCCTCGTGTAAAACGTACAAGCGTACAAAGTACAAATTCTCCTTCCGGCATATATGTATATATATATATACACATACATAGTTCGCTAATACCGTTTTACGGGCGACATTGAAACCCTGAAGCATTCTCTCCGGGGGCTGTACCCTTTCCAACAAAGCAATTTAGCAAGTTTAGAAGGAGAACGTCGAGGTGAACCGCGAATTATTGCGCGAAACGATGCTCGTAAAAAAATTCGCTTTTTGAAGAGCGCGAGAGAAGAAAAAAAAGAACGCTCGCGCTTTCAGCCGCATCGGAAGAAAAAAGTCGCATCGACATTTCTCGCGTTGTTATTTAAAACAACGGTTGTTGATAAACTTCGTTTCGGAATAATCGAGCGGAGAGAATTATTACGCAAATTCCGATGAATCTCCGTCGTTAATAATTCGCATCGAAACAATTTTTAGGTTCATCAACGCGGCGCGAGAAATAAAAGCGGATGATTAATCGTTTCGTACGGCGTGTGTGCGAAATGTCGCGAGATAATCGAGAGAGAAGATCGGCGACTCACCGGGACATGATTTTTCACACTCGAGGGAGAAGTGCCACAGCCGGAAATCAATCAATTAAGCATGCACTTACGTGTATCTTCTCTCGCGAACCGGCGAAAGAAGGAGTCAAGGTTTCGCGGTTAATCGTATCGATTCGTACGAGGAATAAAACGCGATATTCGCGCCAAGTAGTTCGTCCCGGTACTCGATCGGACAAGAGGCAATTGTGCGCCAAGTAGATTGTCGCGCGCATCGCGCGCGATCTCGGTTTAGAAACGTGGGAAAGCGACACATACATCACGCAGTAGTACGACGCGCGCTTTAGTCAGACGTCTTAGCAATGGTAAGTGGAAACGGCAACCGTTTCACACACCGCAAAACGGTACGTGTACGGCATATACACGTACACACGCGCGCGCGCGCACGCCAGACCGATTGAGATCTAGTATGCGTCCATAAATTCGTGTTATCGCGACACATCGCCGATCGGTTACGATCCGCAAGACGTTCTCGACATGCAAAAATAGTTTTCACGACTCGTCGCGCACGTGTCTATTCGGTTCGTCGAGCAATATCATACCGAACAGTTCGCTTTTGTAGACTCGAAAAAGAGAGTGTGAAATAAAATAAAATTGAATTCTGTAGTTTACTTTTCTATTATTTTCCAACAAAATTCAACAAATTTAGTTCCAAAACTTTACGAACGACTTTACTTTTGTGGATTCAAAAGTGAAGTGCAATGGATTTAAGATCTAATATTTTATCCACATTCTATTAATCGCGTGATCCGACAATTTAGTAAAAAAAATGTGTAAGCGTGTAATTTTGTAAAAAAAATTACACACTAACGAATTTACTTTTATCAGATGCAAAAGTGTAAAATAAAACATAACGGAGTTAAATTAAATTGTTTTTTGTGTTTTATTTACACATTCCATTATTTGCGTAAATCAACAAATCTTGTAAAAAATTTTATTTAAAATAAAAGGTTATATTAAAATTAAAAAAACATTCGTTTAAATTGCATTTAAACGAATTTTTAAGTTGCTCTCTGTTTCTATAATTTTTTATCGCTCGAGTGTGTGGAAAATTCACGTGTAATTAAACGAGAAGTGCACGCAGAGGTATGTGCATACATAGCTTGTCGCGCGGATTGAAAGAGACGCGCGTGCGCGCGAGCATAATATCACCGGGGCCAGAGATTCGGAATCGCGACGATCTATATACACAGCTGCACTCTCTTACATACATCGACTCTCGTCGATATAAAACTTCGCTTATCAGATATAGACAGCTATTGGCGCGAGTCGAGCCGCGAAGCGATCATCGAGTTTTCCATCGAGCGCGTCAAAACACACAGCGCGGTCGAGCGGACATACATTGGGTAGATATCGCCCGGACTGAAAATATACAGTCACGTTATCTGTCACGTCGTAACAAAGACGGAATAACGCACATATATCTTGTTGTCTTTGCTTGGTCACGCGCGCGAGTGCCCCAATTTGCATAAAATATGAGACGAGAAACGTCCGGAATCCGCGATCAAGCAATTTGTAAATCAAATAAATAATCGTCAGTACAAATCGAGACGTATGCGAAGCTCATATAAGTCGTAATTTGACGCTCGTTTCGACGGAAATTATTCAATGCGTTACACCGTTGAAATTTCAACGCGGTTGATGAACGTCGACAAGCGTCATAAATAATCTCTTTCTGCTCATTCCACGCGAATGAGAAAAATAACCGGCGTGCACTTCCAAAACGTTTAATCTTTCTCGTAAACGTTTACATCGGACGACCTGAGATTCTAAATGACGTTAAGTGTGCACCAGGCAGCTAAATATTGCCGCCATTTTTATGCAACTGCCACAATATAAACGTAATGTAATAAAATCGTAACGTGCGCGAATGCAGAAGAGCAAACACACGCACACACACGCACGCACACACACACACAACACACGCGATAATAAAATAATATTTACTCTAGATCTAATAATATTTACTTCGAACGCGTCCTGTTGATCCTGACGAAGTACCTACTATTCAACGAGGTTTTTATTGCACCCGGAATCCCTCCCGTGTCGCGAAAAATCTGTTAAGACAGATTTTTTTTCCGAAAATCCCAGCTCTCTTCGAACGGATTCAACGACCTGACCTAGAATGTTCCCCCGGAACAAACGTCTCTCGCGTCTCGCGCGTGTACGATTATAACAATGTGAGACAAAATATGAAATACGTTGGGTATATGTCGGGAATGTTACAACACAATTAACATTCCGGACGGGTACCTCCGCGATCGGACATTCACGGTTTCGCGATAAATCGATTGACCGACCCGAAAGGGGTGTTTACCGTATATATATATATGTATACACACATCTGAGCCGCGCGCGGCGTTTGTTACTTACACAAAGTCAAAGGAAAGAGTAAACGTACCGCTTCGGATGGTCAAAAGCGAGAGAGAACAAAGCGGGTGATAAGGTTGACTCGAAGGCTTCGAGAGATATTCGTGGAGGAGGATTCGTGTTCGCGAACGTCCAAGCGGTGACGATCCAAGTGGCGGCGGCCGGGTGAGTCCCTCGACTGTGAGTAGTAGCGCGAGCTGGATTTGCCGCGCCACGAGGGTTCGTCGTGGTACGGTAGTAGTACGGCTGTGCCGATGGTGCGACGTGAGAGCTCGACGTGGCGGCCGCGGATGGAACGTGGTGCCGACTGAGCGTCCCGGTGCTTCCGAGGCTGGAGCGAACCACCAGTAGAAAGGGCGGCTGTCGACCGCCTCGACACACTGCCACGGGATGCGATAGAGAAAGAGGGAAACGCGAGAGAGAGTTCCCCGAGATGTGGAGGGGAACGATCCCCGGTTGGGGAGAGAGAGAAGATTATTGGCCGGGAGAAGGGTGAAGAAGGAAAGAGAAAGAGAGAGATAGAGATGATCCGGGGAAAGGGATGTGTATTGAGGGAGGCGCAGAGCGGGGAAGGTGCGTGAAGGGGCGGCAGAGGAGAGACGAGAGCGAGCGAGAGAAAATACATGCGTGAGCGAGGATGCAAAACGCTTTGGCAAAGGCGGAGGCGAAGAAACATAAGTTTGATGATTTTGTAACACTTCGGTGGTGACTTTCAATGTTTCTCACGTACAAACGATTGCTTTTTTGCGTGTTTAAACTGCGATTAGAAGTTTCGCGTTTCGCGTCTGTACAAAAGGAGTAAGTTTTAATTGTTCTGAAGCTGCGGAAACTTAGCTTCTCCCTGCTTTCAAATCTCTCATCTGATTTCTCTCTTTGACGTGGAACTGAAGTCCGTAATCCTTTCAGCAATCGAAATCTAAATCCTTCAAATGTTAAGAAACTCAATTGGGAATTTAAGGAACTCGATTAAAGGGATCATAATATTTTGCTTAAGTACTTTCCACCCTGCTATCCACGCCTATGGGAAACGAGACAGAGGAAGAGAGAGAAGATGGAAAGGAGAAAGAGAAAGTTAAATAACGAAAAGAAGGAAGATGACGAAGAAAGATGGAGCATTTACATATCCAGAAACAAGAGGAGAAGAGACGCGAACGAGTTAACCGTGCGTTAACGAGAGAAAGAGACAACGGCCGGGAGAAATGAACAATAACGAGAGAAAGAGACGGGAATAGAAGAAAACTCTGCAAACTTGTATCTACCGGAAACCACGACAGTGAGAAAACTAGAAATCCGCGTGTAGACGACGACAAAACCGCTAGGTCTGTAAGAGAGAAAGGGGAGCGAGGAATCTGGGAATGTAGCAAAACGAGAAAAATAACATTTTGACCGATAAAACAAACATGTACGAAAGGCAACGAAAACATAAACAAAATAAGAAAATACACATAGGAGAAAAGAAGAAAAACAAAAATAATAACAAAGGAAAACGAAAAATTAACCGAAACAAAGAACAGGAGAGAGAAAGAGAGAGAAAAAGGTGAGAGAGAGAGAGAGAGAGAGAGAGAGAGAGAGAGAGAGAGAGAGAGAGAGAGGCGTAGCTAAGTCACACAGAAAGACGATGAGAATTCAAAGCGTTCATTTGCGAGGAAGATCAACGTGCGATACCAGATCCGATAGAATGAGAAAGCGGATCCTGCTTTAAGAGAGGGGATGAGAGGATTAGAGTGGGGCGAGACCGAGAGGAGAGAGAGCGAGACTGTGTGAAAACACACGAGAGGGCAAAAGAGATGGATTCGCACATAGACGGAAAAGCGAGCGAGAGAGAGAGAGAGAGAGAGAGGGAGCTCGATGAGAGAGGAAATCAGGCGAAGGGAAGGGAAGACCACGTGCGACGGAGACGGGAACTGCAATCCCCGCGGGGGTGCATCCGGTGGATGGTGAGACCAAAGTGAGGAAATTCGGAATCGGGGAAAGGGGAAATGAGAGAAGGAAAATGATGGACAGGACGGAAATACAAGCGGAGAATTAAATGACCGGCCTCTGAGAAAAGGCGAAAAGCGACAGGAGTAGGACAGCGACATATCGAGCGGTTGCGGAAAGCCTCCCCTCGAGGTGTGGGCGGTTCCGCGTGTACGCGCGCGGTGAACGACGAGAGAGGTGCCTCATGGTTTTGTTCCTCTCGTCGTCGCGGGGACTCGTTCGCGGGAAGCTGCCCACAAGGGAGAACGAGAATCTATGGAGGGATACGAGCGAGTACGACGTAGGCGAAAAGTATCGAAGGCAGGATAGAATAATCGATAGAACGTGGGTCGAATATATGAGGATTGAAGGTGTTTTTAGTACGTCGTGGCAGGGTACTTCCCGTACTTTAGATGAATGGAAACTCTTTCGAAACTTATATTTCTTTCTGCGTTTCTCACTTCTCTTTTCAAATGTTATTAAGAAATTTAAAAAAAAAAAAAAAAAAACAAAACGTCTGAGAAAATAAGACGTTGAATAGTGATTCATTTTTCCGTTTGCGTGGAAGTGTCTAAAGGAAATGTCTTAAAAATATAAAGATACAAATGAAACTTGACACTTGTTCATAACTTAACGTGTTTTCGTAGACGAAACTATAAAATTTCTTCAAATTTATACGCGCAACTCACTTGAAGAGATTAAGAAAGAATAGAATCATTGTAAATTACATTATATATATGTTACATACAACTCAGTCTCACCTGCGACACACGTCCGTTCTGAGAACGAAAAATGTCCCGGAGATTTTTAGCGGAGCAACGGTGTGTGTATTTTTATCATAGCGACGGTTGGTAGTTAGGTGTTTGTTTTGCCATCTCATCTTGTCGGCGATTGTAAAACAGGATTCACCCGGGCATAAATCCTGTTCCAATTCCGCGATATCACGGGGAGAAAGAGCGCGAGAGGATATTCCCATTCTGAGAGTGACGTTCCATCTGTCGGCGCTTTTTATTATGCGCGTGGCGAAAATACAACGGCCTGTAAAACTTGCAATTTGATTTCTAGATTTATGGCGCGCAGCGGCCACACTGCCACTACGGCGCGGATTGGGATCACATTCTGGCGGGGCGATGTGCTTGGTTTGCGCGACCGGGAAAAAATTCCATTACCAACCTCGTCGTGGATCTTGAAACACGAAGAAGACCCGCGAGAGATACGCTAACAAAACGTAAATATTCATTTCCGTTTTCGTACGTTCGTGAAACATCGTCGATTATCTCGCGAACTACATCCGTTTCGCGTTACATACGTGAATTTGATATTGTCGTTTTTGCGCGCACGTGTGTGTGTGTGTATGTATGTGTGTTCTATCAATAGCGTTTGATAAATATTTTCAATGCACGCAATAATAAATAGAATATCTCAATTAATCGCAGAAATTGCTGCGATATAAAATATTTGTACGGCGCATTGTGCTCTTTGCGAGAAATTTTAAAACAATTTTTCAAGCAACGAAGCGAAACTGTGTGTCGAAAAATGTGTGTTTTTCCTTGAGGTGCGATATGATATTTAACGCTATATTAAAATATTTCATATTATTTCACAGTACGTGCAATATTCCACAGTATGTGGAACATTCCCTGATCCAAAAATATCTTCAGACACCCAGTAACTGTTAGATTGCTTGACGCGAAATGAAATTACGCGAGCATCAAGGCGAGCTATAATGTCGAGCTTCTCTTGAGAATAGAGGACGATTGAGAAACCTGATATCGATATTCTTAGAGCCGCGGTATTACACAACACACATACACACACACAATTTAAACGTGCGATCGTAAGTTCTCTAACGTTATATTTATCTTAGGTTCGAGATTCGACTGTGTTGGTACACGTATTGAATAATACAATTGCCTGTGGCTGCAACTTTCCCTCTGACTTTTTCTACTTCTCTTTCTAAAATCGTTTCTATTAGATCTCTCTGTGTGTGTGTGTGTGTGTGTGTGTACGCGCGCGCGCACGCGTGTGGAAGATTCTGAGAGCAAGAGATAAATTTACTGTGTGTGTAGAATGATGAAATATCGAAAAAAAAGAGAAGAGAGAGATTAATTTATAATGAGAGAGCAAAATAACTTCGCGAATAGATTGCTTTGTCGGATAAATTATTATTAGAAACGCTTTCTCGACGTTCCTCTCGAATTTATGAAAATACAAGACCGAGAGAGCAAAAGACCGAGACGCGTAATTCGGATGAGATGTTCGCGCAGCAATTATAACAACAACAACAACTTTCTTTGGTGAAGTTAATTTTTAGTGATTAATTATTAGAGAACTCTCCGTTGTATTATCAAACTGAAGACAAGTTGATCTTGAACTTCATTTGCTGGACAAAGTTTTTAAGTTTGTGAAACGCGCGTAAGAGCACTTAATTAAGTACTCTCGCTAAATCTTTTACTGTAAACTTAACGGATCTGCTTTAACGCGAATAACGTAGTGTTTTCACAGAGAGAAATGCAAATTTTCACAAATTGTTTCAATATTGATATATTCTTCGAAATATTGTGTAACACACCGTGTAGCGGTGAGAATTTTAGTTAAGTAAGTGAATTATGTCGTTCCGCGAACGCGCGGCAAAATATAATTTGCAATATATCGTCTTTAATGCAACGTTTCTGCGTTGGTTTCGCGAAAGATGTTCGCACGGTAATGACACTAACTTAACATCTAAAACTGCATCTAAAACGACTCTCAAGATAAGTAAAAGCAACCTCTTCGTGTGTTAGATGTGTGTGCGCGTGTGTGAGAAAGTTATCAAACCGTTTTGCTAAAAAAAAAGAAGGAAAAAAAAGAAGAAAAGAAGATAATTCGTAAAAGACATAAACATAATGTCTTTACGTGTTTTCATTTATGATTACGTTAAAGTGAGAATACATGAATTCTTCTCTGGAATTTATCGTGACGCGCGTAGAGTGCGTTTGTTTAATTGTCTACGAAAATCACAAACGCCGAGAGAGAGAGAGAGAAAGAGATAGAGAGAGAGAGAGAGAAGCGATATTTCTATATCCGGAAGAAAACTTGCGAATAGAGCCATTGATTTCATACGACTCGAGATTTTCTCGACGAACTTTGCAAGTCCCACTTCTTGCGAGGAGATTTCTCCCGACTAAGTTTTATTGGCTTTATGAGTTCTCCTTTATTCTTCTGTGAAAAAAAAAAAAACAAATAACTTCAAGAATTAAGTATGTGTGTATGTCTCTTTATAAAAATAAGAGTCCGGAGTCTCTTTTCCGAATATAATAATAGCGTCCTTGACAAATGCAAATTTCGCGAA